CCAGTTTATAGACATCTTCCTCTTCTCTTTGATCTTGTGTTGACCAGGCTGCCCTCAGACTCACTGTGTCATTCAGGATGACTTGAACTTCTGTCTCCACCTTCCTTCCTGTGGTACACATGGGTATACATGTTTGCATGTGCACGTGGAGGCTTTGAAGGCCCTAAATGAAGAGCATGCCAACTTGCTCCCAAGATCCCCTCTCTCTGCCTCCCACGCACCGGGATTCCAGGTGGCTGTCCCACCTGCTGGGACATTTTCTGTGGTTTCTGAGAATCTGAACTCTAGCCTCACACTTGGGTGGCAAGTACTGAGGTATCACTCCAATCTTCTTCCTCTTCCTCCTCCTCCTCTTCCTCCTCTTCCACACAGCTTTTCTCATTGGAACTTGACAAGAAGGACATGCTGGCTTGTCCTCCCACCAAGGCCCAGGAAACCCTCTCCTGTTTTGTCTCCTCAGTCCTAGGGTTACCAGAGCCAGGTCCTCATGCACGTAAAGCAAGTACTTTCCCTGTGGAACTGCCATCTCTCCAGTCACAGACCCTCCATCGGCTGAGCTACACCCCCAGCCCCAGACAAATCATTGACGAGTTGATCGGGAAATGATTGTTTCATGAAACCTGCTTCAGCAAATCTCAGCCTGAAGTCACCACGGACCTCTCTCTCATGTCGATGTTTGGTAAGACAGGGGGCTGAGAAAGAATTCTGTTCCCTGAAGCTTGGGCTTAAAATGCTGCCCAGGGGAGGGGGTGGGCACAGTTTGAAGGCTTCTCTCTGTGAGCCATTTTTCTCTCTGTTCTCCACATCCTGCCCCCAGACACATACCAACCCTCAACCAAACCTGCTCATTGGCAAGACCTAATTTAAAAGCATGGCATCCCTCCTCTATAAAATTAGGGGACCCCCCTCAGCCCAGTGTGTGCAAAGCACTTAGCTAGGTGCTACACAAAGGTGTTGAGGCCTGGTGCACTCTTTGAGCTAGGCCGTAAAAGGAACAGTGTGCTGGAGTCCTTTAGACCCCTGGAGAGCCTCTAACGGAGCATGAAGGTGTCCCAGCCAATCCCTCTGCCCACGCATCCCCTCCTCTCCTCCCCACTCCACCTTTTCTGATCCACCCAACAGCTCGGTTAGAGGCACAATCTTTTCCTGGGCAGGAGAATGACTCACAGCAGGCTGGGTAGGAGCCCCGGAACTTGCTCAACCCGCAGCTGCTCTACCTTGCCCTTTGCTTCTCCTTCTTGGTGTTAGCGTCTGCATCCCTTCTTCCCATCAGCCTGACTTTGCAGACCTCTAGGACACCTCCTTCAGTATCTTCAAGTTTCCCGTCCCCACCTCTTATATCGAGCAAAGCCGGGAAGAGAACGCTAATAGAAACCAAAGACCGTTGCTGAAGACAAGCAAATGATCAGTCTTACAAATCCCAGGGACTGAACTCAGGTCTTCCGGTTTGGCAGCAAGTGCCTGCACCCTCTGAGCCATCTCTCTGACCACGTGACCTTTTACTTGAGGGCCCTAGCAATGCCCTTAAGAGATGACAAACAAAATGACTGGTTTCCATTCATCCCTGGGACCATACACTAGGGGAGAAGCAGCTCCCCAAAGCTGTCCTCTGACCTCCCACACATGCATAGTGGGGCACACACACACACACACACACACACACACACACACACACACACA